CCCGCCGCCTCCCTTCCGCAGGCCGACGGCCGCGCGCTGGAAGCAGGCACACTGGAGCAGCCAAGGCGCCCCCGAGCCCCGGCACGTCGCGGCCAGGCGTTGCCTCCCGACGCGGCCCTGCTGCTGAGCGACCCGCCGGCGAAAGACGGCACGCGGGGCGCGAGCGACAGACCGTGGCGCGTCCTGGACGTCTTGGAGAGCATGTGCGCTGCAGTCTGCTGCGCTGTGCAAAAGATTTTTGCCATTGGAAAGTTTATTGTTATTAATTGAACACGGATTACCTGAAGTGTGGAATGTGAGGGTTGTTCGCTGCTTTTCCCTTCACAATTTCGTGGTTTTTAACCTAATAAGATGAACACTGGTTTTAAAGGAGGAGGAGGAGGAGGGTCGGTTTCGCCTGCTGCGGGGCCCCGCCTCCCAGCCTGGGTGCGCACTTGTTTCGTTGTCCGGTAGGTAGCCAGTGTGGCCGCAGAGCTGAGCTTGGTGGCCCGTGCAACTCCGGATTCCAGAAGCCCCTGCCGGTGACAAGATGGAGCTGCGCAGTGGGGCCTCAGGAGGGGCGCCAGGAGCGAGAAGCAGGCCGTGGAGCTGATGAGGGGACGCTTTGGCTGGTGTGCCAGTCCGCCTGGCTCCCTGTCGTGGGAGCGTTCCTCGGGAACAGCCTGGTGCAGCACATGGCAGCTTGGAGGCCCAGACTCGACTTGGCCCTGGTTCCTGCACCTGACAGCTGGGGTAACTTTGGGAAAATGGCCTTGACCTCTCTGAGCCTCAGTTTCTCTTTTTGTAAAATATTAATAGATGTTCTAAGAGCACTGCGATAAATTTAGCATTGATGTATGTAAACCACTAGGCAAAGGATTGTCATACAGTAGGCATTAATTAATTATGGCTGATGCGCACTCTCCCTCCCTGCCTCTCTTTCCTCTCCTTTCCTCTTTCCCTGCCCCTCTCCCTCCCGCCTTCCTCTAGGAAGGAAAGCAGCCTGAAAACTGAATGGAATAAAACCTGAATCGAAACGTCTGGCAGCCTGGTGACTGTCATCTAGCTGCCCCAGGCCTCTTAAACCAGATCAGTGTCTGCTAGAGACCCAGCCCTACACCAACCGCAAGCGCCCCTGCGTGGCAGAGACGCCATGGCCAGCCCTGCAGTTCCTGGCGTGTTCTCACTGGAAGGCAACGTTGAGCTTCGACTTTCAGCCTGCCAGGAGTGTTCCCTGGCTCAGTCCTCAGTCCTCTCGGGCTAGACGCGCGGACCAGCCACTTCTTTGGATGCTCAGGGCAGCTCTGGAGACAAAGCAGACGATGCTACTTCCACAGCTCAGAGTAAAGACAGGGGAAGCCTGCCGCCGCTAAACGAAAATAAAACAGTGTTTTGGGACATTTAAGCACAAAATAGGCAGAGGCCTGGGGAGCTCGTGGTTGCCTCTCTGCAGACTTATCTCATGAATGATTAAAAATTATAGCAACGTGAATATCTGTTAGTTTGATACATCCACTGGAATGAGCACTGGAAGAATTATAATGATGAAGATTATGCAGGCCAACTCGGGAGAAAATCTATATAAGCGTAAGGACGAAGTAAAAGCTTATCTTAGACTTGATGGCAAGATCTAAACATTACATATACTTTGCAAAAAACCCAAAGGGAAGCAAACATTGGCTTGCCAAGGTATAGATAGAAGTTATTTTTTCCTTATCATTGCTATTTTCATGCTCATGGTTTTTAATATCAGGACTATTAAGGGTGTGGAGGGGTAGAAAACACACAATTCTTAAATGCACTCCTGATGCTTCTAGTCAATGGAAGTCCCTGATGTCCACAGCGAGTACTCCTGCGGGTTAAGATACAAATGGATCTCCAGGAGCACCTAAAATGTTGACTCATTTAAACACATTAGAAGGAAGAATGTATGGATTTTTTAGGTTAGTTCTCTTTCCTATAGAAAAGCCAGAATTTCGTGGAAAGGGAAGAGATGGGAAGAAAATGGCAAGAGACATTAACGATAATTATTTGCCATGTGTTAAGCATTCCTATGTGTTAGTGCCAAGCATTAGTCTGGCGCAATTCATGTAAGGGTAACACTCCACCTTCTATAGATGAAAACTGGAGGCCAACAGACATCAGTGGCCTGAAGCTGAGTGGCTTGTAGTGGCCAGGCCAGGTCTGACCCAAGGTGTGACCCTCGCAGCGCTGGTGCTCCTCCTGCCACGCACACGCCAGAACTTGGGGGCGGAGCAAGCAGGGAGCCCATCGCGGCCAGGCACCAGGAAAGCTCACCAGCCCTTGTCCGTGTCCTGATGCAGCATGCATGCCACTGCGTACCGCCAGGCTCTGGACTTTTGCTGCTGGGTGAAAGCAAGCATCGGTCAGCAGAAGGACAGGGAGGACTCGGGAAGAT